ACTGTCAATGGCTCCGCTACTGCGGAATGTTTTGAAGAAAGCCGTGGTCGTGCGGTGCTCTTCGGTGCCAGTCAGCAGCGTCAATGAGATGACTCGGGACGGCCGCTGCTCCAGTCACGCCGGAGTCAGAGTCGGAGTCACAGGCGGAAGTCCTGTCACGGAAACCTCTCAATTACAGCTGCTCTAATTAGAACTGATCACGAATCGTGCTCAATGTCTCACAGTTTAGCCACGAAGCTTCTGCGACGTTTTCAGTTAGTTTTTTTCGTGCTCAAATCAATCAGTAGCACTGGATTTACTTTCCCAGCTGTTCCAACCCTGCGCTGTTTTCATGCGTGGGTGAGGGCGGCTCCTGCCTTTCCGAGAGACGCCCGGCGCTTGGGCGGGTCAGGACACGCGCTTCTTTAACCAGTCGGGACGCACAAGCTAAATCATACCGGAATGGGGTCAGCGAAGAGAGACTGCGGTCGAGCCTGCGCTGGCCACAACCGCCGCCGCCCTACGAACCCGACTCTTATCCGGCGGGACACGATAATTAATCGAGCCGAGTGCCCCAACCGAGCGGCATCACTCGATAACACCTCTCTTTATCCCGCGCCGCGGCCGAGCGGGGAAAACGAGCCGCGGCATCGAGACAGGAGAAGATTGGTGGTCCCAGCGGCGTTTCAGCTCCATTTGATGAAAGCATAAGCAGCCACATCCTCTAATTCGTCGATCGCAACGGGGTTCTGACTGGGATGAAAGGAGGCGCGCGGTGGTCGGCCAGCGTTCATTTAATCAGCTTTATGACCCACATTAATGAATTATAATGATTAGCGTTCCATTAAACGAGTGAGAGCAATTTTCATAGTCATAATGGTCTCAATGGCATATGACCTGTATTCATTTCATTCAGAACATCTGGTTTATTGATGTGTTGTGAGACGGTGAACCGGCGTCCGATGTCATGTGTCAAGTCATTGGCTTGGACGTTGGACAAACAGCTGAGTGGCTGACACTGAGATTGCCATCGGCAATGGAATAAAGAGCTAATTTAATAGCCGCATAGATGACAATGACTGATAAGCGTTGAACTAAGTTCCTCGATTGGTAGCGATAGGAAGATATTGTAGTGTGAAGCGATGCAGTCTCCGATCACTGGTAGGAGTGATAGGGTTGTGTGAGTCACTGTGCAGCCTCCCCCTTTTAGTGCTACCGTTCTACGCTGCGACGCTATCACCGTGATAAACTCCCATACCTGAGTCGCAGTCTCCGGTCCCACATCACCCTGCACCCACCATCCCGTGCGGCTGTCTCAGTGCCGGGCCCACCCTGCTCCCGGCGAGCTGTCAAATTGATCACCCTCCACCGGCTGTCTTCCGTCGGACAAAAACTCGACAACAAACCGCCGCCGCCGCCCGGCCCCGGGCGACCATATCCAGAATGAATGGCCTGTTTAATTGGGTAAATTGCATTTCCGCTTCTGCAGAATAACATGAATGAGTAGTCGAGATGTCTACAATATGCCGACGTACTAACCTCCTACATGGCAACACGAACAACATATACCTCCACATAGCACAATTAAGCGAGTGTGGTCACCACGGGTCGTCACGGACAAACGTGAGCCGCCTCAGACCGGTCTTCCCAACATGGCGATGGCACGTCGTCGGCGGAGGCGAGAGTGACCCGCTGCAAACGGCGCCCCCGGCGGGTCTGCCGAAGGAGGTCACACCCGATCTGCAGAGTGCATACACCTCGGCGTCGCTCGCCGGCCCGTAGAAAGTTGTCGGACAATCAGTCGGGATGAGTGACCGTGTGTCAGACCGAGCCCGAGGCGGAGCGGGTCTTTGCACCCCGCCCGACCGCCCGGCCGCCGCCGCCGCGCGGCACACGCAGGCGAAGTTGTTAACCCACTCTGCGGAATGGTTCGGCTCTCCACCCGCCATATATGCGTCATGTAAACCACTCACTTTCCCGACTATCTTCATTGTATGGAGAGGAGTACAGCGTGTATGTCAGTGACCGCAGTCCTCGCGGTGTGTTTGGACTAATTTCCGATGACGGGAACTGCGCTTCAGTGACGTGTCCGCACGCGTCACAGAGCGCGCGGACAGGACCGTTGGAGGCTCTCAGTCAGTCACGCGGCACCTCGAGACGTGCGTGACGCACCAGGCCGTGACGTGACGAGTGTTACGTGACGTCTTCATCACGGAAAGGATTATTGCTTCTTTTTCTCTCTCTCTCCCTCTCTCTCTCACTCTCACTCCCTCTCTCTCCTCTCCCTCTCCCTCCCTCTCTCTCTCCTCTCTCTCTATCTTTCTCTCTCTCTCTCTCTCACTCTCTCTCTCTCTCTCTCTCTCTCTCTCTCATTCTTTCTGCCAGGTACTGGCTTATGTTATCACTTCTTCTCATTTTTATTTTCATCTCTCTTCTAAAACTTCTCATTTTGCCTTTTCCTCTTATACGTATTTTTTCGTCCAATTCTTTCTCTTTTTCCTTCTGCGTTTTACCGACGTTAAAAAATTAGATTTTAGAAATCACAACTCGTTGCTCTCACGAGCCAAGGCAAACGTCGAGAGATCGACGCTGATTCACGTACCGTGTCTGAGTAGCGGTCGCAGCACCGGCAGCGGCGGTGGTGGTTGTGGTGAAGTCTCAGCGGATGTCTACGGAACTTCGCACTGTTGGCTTTGCCGAAGGAGCCCCGAATAGGCTCCGAATGGCATTTTGACGCGCCGAGGCAGCGGTGTGTGGATTATAGCAGTCGGAACTGCGACTCGACTCAGCCGGTGAGAGGATTCTGCAGCAGCATTAGTCGCGCTGTTTGCAGCTTTGTGCAGGCGTTCCGGTGGTGAGCCGAGAGACGTCAGAAAATGTGGTTCCGTAGCGGTATTACTCCATAGATAACGGGAGGGCGATTGTTGTGACAGTGAGTGATTTGCAGCTCACTCTGCCACATATTGCAATTGCGTAACAGATCTGACATAAGCTGTCGTAAAGTATTTCTTTTAGACATAATTTGATCACGAAAAGCGCATCATTGCCAGTGCAATCACAAGAGAACGGACGTGGCTTTTATATCAGCAGGGAAATGCGCATGTGCAAGTTTAATTATGACCATCGTGAGCCAATGCAACCACCACCCGCTAACCAATAACAACACACAGGGCATGGGGCGACTCCATTACTCAATGTCGACATCTAAGCTACGCTCTGCTACACACGAGCCTGAGCTCCGTTAGCTTCCCAGCATGTAAGCTAGCGCACATACCAAATTACTCCAGCCAGTCATGCACGACCCCTCTAGCATAACTTCCCCTCCCTCTGCTGTACCGCTTCATTGCCTCTTTAGCAAGGTGTGGTCGCCAACGCGCAACCACAGAGCCACAAAAGGTCATGTTCAGGTCACCGGGCGCGCCTTGAGGTCACTGGGTGGTGACAAGACACGCTCTGGTCGTCTGTCGTATGTCACAAAGGTCACACCTGACGAAGGGGCATTGGGCTCGAAAAGCTCACAAAGGTCACGCTAGAAATATTACCAGAAGTTGAGTGCAGTGTCGATAGAGGGACCGAATATCTCTAATCATGAAGTACGAGTACGCATCTAGAAACAAGGTCATTGAATTTCTGCAGGGTATCGAGCTTATGTTCACATAGTTCAGGCGTCCCTCGCACATGAGTGAAATGTGAATTGGTGGAGTTGCAAAAAAAGCTAGGCTCCAAATGTTCCCTAATCCCTTATAATAAATGCAGTTACTAAAAATACAAGTCCATTTGGGCTACCGTTCACATGAGCTCATTCGTGTGGCTTTTTTTGGCTTCTGCTATCACGAAACCTCATGATTGACCAATTTTGTCCACGAATTCTGAGCTTCGCGTCACGCAGCATGTACCCAGGACAGTCAGACAAACAAAACTCCCACCGTCAAACGGTTTCCTGGTGGGTTTGTGGGAGACTGGGCACCCTGAACTCCGAGCTTACAATGCGTGACCCCTACACAAATGATGGTGGGATATTTGCTTATGAAGTAGCTTATTTGTGTGTGAGGATCCGTGGAAAAGATTTGATTGTTATTTTCTGTGGAATAAAGATCCCAACAAGTTTGACGAAGTACGTGAGGCTTCAGATGCACTACGTTGTAGGTTGCGTGACTTGAAAAGAATAATGTGTTGTTTAGAGTTTAGACCATAGATGTGCCACTGAGAAAGGTCACGACAGGCCGATGAACCCGAGACTTGCTCTGTCGGTGACATGAGTGCACTTATAATGTGTATGTGTGTACATTCTTCCTAAGCCTACCTATACGTTAATCATAGACCCGTACCCGTGAATAAAGTTGATAAAGAATTCCTAAGTGTCTTGAACATGAAGCCAACATAAATAAACCGAAGTGCTGTCTACACTCCGCGATAGGGCCACTTTCAAACGGCGCTGTTTACTCGTCAGTCAGATTTTCCATCGGGGATGCCTTTTCTATCTGATACGATTAAAAGCATGCAAATCACCGAGGAACAGCACAAAGCGTGTTTTGTGCCTGTCGGTTGTCAAGTTAACGGATCAATCGCTCCCCGTCTTCAGAGTTGTCAAGGTCCGCAAAAGTGATGCAAAACAGCTGCGTATTGTTTCGAAGAAGGACGCTTAGACGTGAACCTTTGGCCCGAAATTAATACCTTCGCTAGAGATAGCGGCTCGCGTGGCGTCAATGGACAAATAAGCAGCTTTGCTAGCGTCTTTAGACGTATTGGTAACAACTTCAAAGATCCTGTTTTCATTGAAACGGAGCGCTGCAAACGCTGTTTTGAATGATAAATAGACCTCAACCATGAAAACTGAACGTTTACCGTGTACGTCGGAATAGCGTGTGCTGTTTGATGTTCTCGAATTCGCATTATTGTGGTGCAGTCCTGCACATAAATGACGATTTTCCCAGGCACCCCATATACCGCGCCGTCTTCACCTTTGGAGTTTGTCTAAACACTGGGAACTGACTCCCTCGCCCTTCCTGTTGATGTCGCAGGTGCTGAAGCTGATGAGGGACGTCTCCGGAGACCAGGAGGAGAGCGATGGCAGCGACATCTCCGGCTACCACTCGGACTCCGACTCCGCCATCATGACGTCAGGAAACTCACCCTACGTCAGCAAGTCGGCTAGATACAACTTCCTCTACAGATCAGGTCAGTGCGCGCGACATGGCATGACAGCTTGTTGCGTCTTTGCATTAAACTTTTTTCTCGAACAGCATTGAATGGAGTTTAATTATGTTAACTCTGAACACCGACGGATGCACATTCTTGACGCAAACATAAAAAACTAAGAAGAATGGAATAAGGAATGTCATGAACGAGAAGTAAGGTCATGTTTCCTTACTACGCTACGGGCCGTCCACTTATCATGATTCTGTAAAGCCCCACTGTCTTATGTGAGTAACTGAGAGCGTCTGCGCACTGCGGGAGACATACAGGCTACATCTAATCTGAGCGAGAATATCCATTTCATTCGGCGTTCACGAGGCCGGTGAAACGGATACTTTGCATAGGAGCTCTATCTGCGCGAAGAGCAGTCGGCGAGGGCCATCTGCCGGACACGCGCGTCCCCAGGTGATGGACGGACCAGCACGTCGGCCGGGTCAGACGGGGTCATGTGGGGTCATACGGGGTCAGACAGAGCTGTCAGGGGTCGCACGAGGGCGCCTCCTCCGACCTGCCGAGCAGACATGCTAATGAATTGTCCCGGGAGGAGAGAAGTCGACTTCCTGAGGCGGACGCGACCGCACTAATTAATTAACGCCGGCGTCTCCGAAACACCACAGGTGCCGACGCACAATTTGTCTCTGGCTAATGATTTGAAATATGCGGGTGTGAAGCGGGAATGTCAGTCATTGTGTTCAGACACGGGTCACAGACGGTCGCTCTTTTTGCGCGGCTATGACATTAGAAATGCTATTTGTGAACATTAGTGATGCACAAGAGCGACACCAGAAAATTTTAAATTGCAGTTTTATTGCGCCCTTGTGTTTTACCAGTTTTATCGAAGATGTCTAGCGTTGGAGTCCTTCTATTCTATTCATCCAACCAGATTCATGATGTTTTCTTAATTTACAGCAGAGAGTAAAGGCACGCACCAATGTCTCTTCTAAATACATTCAAATTCATTTAGTTGGGTGTGCTGTGCCGAAAAAAGAGCTTCATTAGACCTGCACTTGCCTACATGGTAACCATGCCGTTTTCGCAGTATTACTTCTCACGACTTTCGATCAATAACTATGCGTGCACACCATGACGAAATCGCCTCTATAACCTCCTTCCCCTTCCCGTAATCAAGGCGCCATTCATTCAGTCCATCCCCACCTCGTATCCATAGCTCGCCCTCGGGCGCTATCTCCTGCCCGTTCATACACAGCCCGCTGACGGCAGTCGCAGTCCGTTGATCGGTTCCACCTTGAATGCCTGTTTACTCGGACGATCTGTTTCGCTTTCGTCTGCCCGTGGCAATGGCCGGCGGTAGGTGATGGAGGGAGGCCACTGGTGGTCGCACGTGCCCCCCGGGTGCCCCCGGGGTGGCCCCGCCGGCCGAGTGATGAGGAGAGGGGACTGTTTGGCTCCCTGTGCGACCTTCGCACTGCCTCTCTCCGCGGCACTATTGACAAGCCATGACGGAGTGCGCGGTGGGCAGGCATGCCCCTCCGCGCTGTCTGCCGGTCGCCCGACGGAAGAGGCCGTGTGGCGCGTGACATTAGATGACGTGAGGCGTGACGGGTGACGTGAGATGACGTGACGCGTGACGTGGGACAGCGTGACGTGACGTGGCAGACACGGCGCGACGCGGCGGGTGGGGGCGTGGAAAGGAGCAATGTAACAGGTGTCGGGGATGGCGGGCCCAGATTTCCTCTCACAAGAGACTGAAAATTCTGACACGACACCACATTGGCTTCGAGACATGGCGGTTTTGAAAGGGACAGAGAGGAAGATGAAGAAAGTGAGGAGAGAGAGAGAGAGAGAGAGAGAGAGAGAGAGAGAGAGAGAGAGAGAGAGAGTATAAAGATAAAGGGAGGCAGGGCGAGAAAGAGAGGTAAAGATTAAATTGCATTTGAGAGAGACAAGTTTAAATTTCATTGCAGTAGGAATTTGGACGTGTTTGCTGATATTCAGAGCGTTTTTCTGTGTTTTGTTTAACGAGCCCAGACCTGAAAAGGTGATATAATTAACAGGAGTTCACCGTAAATATGCAATTTCATTGTGTTACGCGACCAAATGAAACCTAGCGTCACAGTATGCACTAGCGATGAAGCGTGAGTCAATGCGTTGGCGGTGTAAAAGTGCTGTGGGGCCTTCACTTCACGCTAAAGGATTCCGTTGTATCGTAATGCCGTTGAGCTCGGATGCATACATACACTTAGTCGGATTCTTTTTCATCATAAGTATATGCGTAACAGCTTCATTGTTTCGTGACACGGATTGTATAGTGAACATTACCAACGTTCTTTCTATGCTACATAAGTGCATGGTTCAGTGTATTCAAGCTGTGAACATCCACTGTCACGTTGGATACATGTGAATTCAGGGCTGCGGAGTCGGAGTCGGAGTCGGAGTCGGAGTCGGTCGGAGTCGACAGTTGTGACCGGAGTCGGAGTCGGAGTCGGAGTCGATTTTAGAAACCCGAGCCGGAGTCGGAGTCGGAGTCACCGAAAATCCGTCGACTCCGCAGCCCTGCCAGGTCTGCGGAGTCGGAGTCGAGAGTTGGAGTCGGTCGGAGTCGACAATTCTGGCCGGAGTCGGAGTCGGAGTCGGAGCTGGTTTTTGAAAGCCGGAGTCGGAGTCGGAGTCGGAGTCGCTGAAAATCCATCGACTCCGCAGCCCTGCATGTGATCACCGGGCGGTCACCCACCTTCAGTAAGCCACGTATGGAACCAGTCAAACAAGAACCGCGTCGCGCCCGCCCGCCTAAGGAACGAATAGAAGCCGGCACCGGGGTCAATGTGACACGACTCAGCGTGGGATAGAATGTGACCCGGTGACGTTTGGAGGGCAATGTCGTCCCACAAAAGTCAGGCAGTCCAACAATGAATACCGATACGAACAAAGACAGAGGTCAGGGTTGGAATGTGGCCTGGGAGCGATGATGGCTATGCCAATATGTAGTTCCATTATAGCTCTAGACAGAATGGTTCAATGACATCGTATGCTACGACTGGGGTGCGGAGTGATTTTGTTTTATGACACCTATTCTGATCGCTTGGAATATTTTCTTGCGATGAAATCTTATCAAAGGCTGATGAATGTGACTGACTTATGAAAAAATCACAAAGACTGATTGACTTCTAAATTTTAGAATCTCATCAATGCCGGATGTATTTAACGTATATAATTTCCCTATATGCCGCACCCATTTGCAGGACTGGTATATATCCGACGCAGGAATCCCGTTAGATGCATCCAAACTGGCAGCTTTCGCTTTTCGATGGAATATCCACGCTTCAAAACGAGTACCGTACGCGCCAGAATGCCCAAACCCCAGCCTTACAGGACAGCTCTCTCGCATAGTCAGTGGTCAAATCCGGCATTGAGTGAAGTCACGGACTTGAGACCGCGATGTCAGGACCACTGACCGGGCTGGATTCGGACGTCACCAGTCAGGTGTCGCCATCAAACCGAGGGTTTGGCGAACTTTCAGAGGGTTATTCTGTCACTCATTGATTAAGAAGCGATGCCAAGGGAGATTTAGTCGAACGCATCGGATATAATCCTAGTGCGACTGTTAAAATATGAAGGCTGTTCGCTGATGATGCATGAATTGAATAAGTTTTCAAATACCTAGAAGAATGAAATTTTTCTTTGAGCGTCACGTCAGTTCCCCGGCGTTTCTAGAATGTCTCATATTCACCGATCACTCTGAGAGCCGCAAAATACCTACTTCAAGGTAAATACAAATTTAGAAACTCTAGAGCACCGCTGCACTGTGTGCAGATTGATACTTCATGGAAGCTAACTTGTTAAAAAGCACTAGGTATTTTCGTTTTCCGTCCGATGCCCTCCAGAGTTCCTCCTTCATTTCAGCAGGCTATTTTAGCATATGTTCAGCAATTATACGGGCGAAAGGAGAGCACAGGGAGTGGTTACGAGCGAGCGAGCGCAGCGAGCGAAGTGAGTCTTTTCAATATAACGGAAAAATCTCAGTATGAGCGGCCCGGCCCGGCCCGGCCCGGCCCGGCCCGGCCCGGCCCGGCCCGGCCCGGCCCGGCCTGTAACGCTTTTGAGAGGCTTATATCTCAGGAACCGCTGGACCGATTGGCCTGCGGTCTTTTTGTTGGGTAGCCCCATCCCTTCTACCCCGTAATTGACTAGTTTTGATACATCTCAGTGACGGTCGTGGCACGTGCCACGTGAAAAGTCAAGGGTGTTCAAGCTGTTTTGCAAAAGTAGTGATTTTGAGAGGCTCATATTTTAGCAGCCGCTTGGGCTATTGACTTGCGGTAGTTTTTGTAGGGTAGCAGCATCCCTTCTACCCAAAATAGGATACTCTCGATGCATGTGGGTCACCCCCAGTGCACGTGCAAAATACAACAATAAGAGGTGCCAAATTTGTTCCCATTTCAGTAACTCGGTAATTACTGGGGCGATTTCGCTGAAACTTGGCATACAGGTAGGCACCCACCAGGCAATGCATTCTCATGTGTTGCGGTTGGGGTGCTACTGCACGTGCGCACGTGCAGGGGGCGTTTCCAGATCTCGAGAACGGCTGGGCCGATTGCGCTCAAATTTGGTACACGGTTGGGGACCAGTTAGTAGGGTGCCGTGCAAAAGTCATTTTGGACCCCGTTTGCACGTGCGCACGTGCAGAATGCCGCTTCCAGATCTCAGGAACGGCTGGGCCGATTGCGTTCAAATTTGGCACACCGCTAGCGACCGGTTAGAAGGGTGCTTTGCGCAAGCCCGTTGGAAGCACCCTCTCGCCCTTCCGCACGTGCAGGGCTCACTATCTCGCTCGCTCGTTCTTCGCCCAAAAGGCGTTTTACTGGTATGACTAACGAGGCTGGTAAGTGATTAGGGCCGCGCTATTCAGTGACCACAAGCCCATCTGGTTGCAAATTGTGGATCACTTTCCTTGTCGGAAGAAGCGTGTCAATGATTTTGCGTCACTTTAAAAAAGAAAGTAGCGTCATCGCCATAGGCATTGGCACAGGTAGGCTATGCGCTGGCGTTTTCACTCTTGCAAGGAGCTGATTACGAGCGAGCGAGCGCAGCGAGCGAAGTGAGTCTTTTCAATATAACGGAAAAATCTCAGTATGAGCGGCCCGGCCCGGCCCGGCCCGGCCCGGCCCGGCCCGGCCCGGCCTGTAACGCTTTTGAGAGGCTTATATCTCAGCAACCGCTGGACCGATTGGCCTGCGGTCTTTTTTGTTGGGTAGCCCCATCCCTTCTACCCCGTAATTGACTACTTTTGATACATCTCAGTGACCGTCGTGGCACGTGCCACGTGAAAAGTCAAGGGTGTTCAAGCTGTTTTGCAAAAGTAGTGATTTTAAGAGGTTCATATCTCAGCAGCCGCTTGGGCGATTGACTTGCGGTAATTTTTGTAGGGTAGCAGCATCCCTTCTACCCAAAACAGGATAGTCTCGATGCATGTGGGTCACCCCCAGTGCACGTGCAAAATACAACAATAAGAGGTGCCAAATTTGTTCCCATTTCAGTAACTCGGTAATTACTGGGGCGATTTCGCTGAAACTTGGCATACAGGTAGGTACCCACCAGGCAATGCATTCCCATGTGTTGCGGTTAGGGTGCTACTGCACGTGCGCACGTGAAGGGGGCGTTTCCAGATCTCGAGAACGGCTGAGCCGATTGCGCTCAAATTTGGTACACGGTTGGGGACCAGTTAGTAGGGTGCCGTGCAAAAGTCATTTTGGACCCCGTTTGCACGTGCGCACGTGCAGAATGCCGCTTCCAGATCTCAGAAACGGCTGGGCCGATTGCATTCAAATTTGGCACACCGCTAGCGACCGGTTTGAAGGGTGCCTTGCGCAAGCCCGTTGGAAGCACCCTCTCGCCCTTCTGCACGTGCATGGCTCACTATCTCGCTCGCTCGTTCTTCGCCCAAAAGGCGTTTTACTGGTGAATAACAAATGAACATAATTAGTGAAGTGTTTGTGGCTACCTGGATCCTGTGTAATTGTCTCCGAGGATATTATTGCAGTGTATCATATGACAGCAACACAGTGTCGTGTGCAAGAAACAAATTATTCTAACAGCCTAGAAACAAGCATTCCATCACCCTCGCAAGCCATTCAACCGAAATAAATCACCCCATACATATAATTACGGCGACGTTACAAATTGTTTCGTCACTCGCCGTATAACTCTCACTGTGAGCCATTGTCCGTCCGTGGCTAGCTCATCGGGCTCAGTGGCCGGTTCCAGAGTGCCCCGGGGCTAGCCCGCGGACCCGTCATCTAATTCCACTCCCTTCACCTGGCGGATAGTTTGTTCTGGCGTCTCCTCCGGGGTTGGTATAATGGACTCGCGAGCCTAGAATGGGACGGAAGTAGACAAACCTGGAGAGCTCGAGGCTGGGCTCTCATCCTCTCTCTCTCTCTCTCTCTCTCTCTCTCTCTCTCTCTCTCTCTCTCTCTCCCTCTCTCTCAGTACTGACCGCTCGAACAATCGGACATTCCACTAATGAATGCTAATGCGTCGCCGCTCGGGTCAAGCAGGACCGGAATGCTTAGCCACGGTCTCACGCCTCGCTCAACGCCGCTTGGCAAGGTGAAAGTGTCGTTGACCAGAGTGAGGTTACGGCTGCTTCTCGGATAGGTAGTTACCGATATTTACATACACTTCGGTCAGCCGGCGGCGAGGAACTTAGCGGAAGTGGTTGATGGGGAGAGAGGTTTCTGTTTATACACGGTGCGTCGTATTCAGGGGAGAAGGATCGGACTGTTTGTCGCTAGATGAAAGGCGGAGAGAAGGAAATGAGAGGTGAAAATGCGATGGTGGAAGGGGGAGAAATGTAAACACGATTTATATCATTAGGAACACAACTGACCTCACATAACCAACGGATGTAATAGTCAGAAGCACTAATTAATTCGACATAATAGCTTAAAAACGACTTTTGCCTATTTATATTTTCATCACTGGATTTTTCATATTAAATTTATTTTTCAGTCTTATAAATTTCCTTAGTTTAGTCTGCATTAAAAGCACATATAGGTAGATGCTCATTTTATGCAGCGGTGGTAATGAAGTAAATTGTTCAACGCTTCTTATCAAATAATTCGTGCTAACTGGTGAGGTAGGAAACGTTCTACAAAAGTGCAACGTTACTCTAACATCAGCATCAACAAAAAACGTTTATTTTGCGTTTAAGTCGTTTTAAGTATCTTTTCCTTGTTCTTTTTTATTCGACCGACTACGAGCTACAAACGGTACCATTCAGCGGCTGCGCTTCCTAATTTGTTTCCCATTACTTTTCACCTCGCCACATCATTCATTGGTCGGTCTGGACGTCAGATAGGCACATATCGACACCCCTGTGGTTACCGAGGCCTCCCTGCGCGCGAGGCGGCAGCTCAGATTGAAGACCGGCGCGGGATCAGGTGTTTATTAAGAGATCATTCCACCCGGCAAAATAACAGTGCGCGCCTTCATCAAGATATCGTAATCGAGACGATCAGGAATAGGAAAGTAGAATGAAATGGTGTGATTTCATTCAAGGCGATGAATAGCGCTCAGATGAAGTATAACCCATTGAAGCTGCTTGCATAGCAGTTGAGGTGAAACATGGCCAATTGCATTTGCTTAGCTAGGCATGCACCAAACCTACAAAGAACGGAAAACGTCTTATTGTTGAGATGCATCTCAGTAACACAAAAGCGAGCCTGTTGCGTCAGCCTTCTAAAAAGTGGGCTAGGATAAAGATAGTGAAGGTGACTCTATAAACCGCATAAGAGTGACTTTTTCGAGAGAGCTCACGACCTTTTTTCCTGTGAGCTGAAAGGCTTTTGGGGAGGCATTGTGCTGATTTGACAACTGGGTACCTATGCGGCGGTGGCTGAGCCCGTCCCGTTTGTTGTGACAGGCGTGCTTCAAATTTAAGCCTGTCTCAAATTTTGGCAAACTGAGACAAGTGAATAACACTCCAGCCGGAAATATCCATGTGCATTTTACCTCTTCTACGTCCGAATTTACCTCTTTCTAAGCTACCATCAGCTGTCAGGGAACTATGAGTTCTCCTATCCTCTGTCTCTGTCCGGGGAGAAGCTGGGTCGGGCCGTCGACTCACACCTGCTCCTCCCTCACATCCGGCGAAATCTCCCCAAAACGCGCCCGGGCACCGCTCGTCCGCGGTGGTATTGACCTTCGCTCCGCTTTCCCCGCGCCGCCGATCGACGAAATCGAATTCCTCGGCCGCCAGCTCGCACCTCGGGCGAGCATTATTCAAACGCGGCGCACCGGCGGCTAACTAGGCGCGGCAGCGGCAAGCAGAGTGGCGATTTGTGACGTCACGCCAAACAGCTGACCCAGAGAGCTGGACACGGCCGGCTCTCGGCGCGGCGCGGCTCTAAACGATGCTAATACGGTGCCCGCGGCCCGACGCTTTCTCGGCTGCTCGGAGACGAGCGGCGGGCGGCGGGCGGCGTCCGTTGACCCTCCCCGTGACTGAGGGGTGAGCAGGAGCTGCTGGGGGCAACTGGTCAGTGAGTTGGGCTCATCGGCTGGGCTCGGCTCGTGTAGTGAAAGGCCAGCTGGGAACGTTCGAGGGATGCCGAGGTGCATTACCGCAAGGCATGGAAATATCTGTCCCGGCCTCCGCTCCGCCCCGCCCCGCCTCCGCCGTCGCCTCTGGGTCTCAGTCTGAACCATCCGGCGCCTTTCTACTCCGACTCATCCTGAGATCCGGTCTACACCTCGCCTGGAGACACCCTCCCTGACAGATTTTGGAGGAAACTCCCGGATGTGCTGTCGCGAAATGTCCGCTGTATCCGTCCGAGACACACCTGGCAGAGTTTCGGTGGATCAGCTTCTATCCCAGCCATCTGCCAGTCACGGTCACTTTCCGTCCGCCGTCCCCAGCCCCGCCTCAACCCCGCCCCTTACCTCCAAGTTGCCCATCCCCCGTCGGGAGTGTTCGCCTTCTCGTCTGGCTTCGTTGGAATCGGGCGGGGGCGGAGGCGGGGGGGGGGGGGAGGTAGCGACGGAACCGACGCGATCAGCTGTGACGTTCGTCAACTCGAGACGAACAAAAGTCGCTCTTCCGTGACGAAGATTTGTCGATTCGTCGCCTCTCGAGGCACCAAGACGGACGTTTGTATACAAACACTAAAAATGGGAGAGTACCACGAGTCAAATGTAATGGGGGTTATTGATGACGGAGCATGAAATGCCCACGAGCGGGCCGTGTGCGCACATGGCCGTATTTGTGCGCTGTCCTACATGGGACCGATTTGTTTCGAGTCTGCGCACCTCGGACCACTCTGAGGAATGTGGATGTGCGTCGGCCGGACCAATGATTGGGGTCGCTTTTTGTCCAGACAGCTGCGTGCTGAGGATGCCAATGGGGAGGCTCGCCAGCCAAGATATCTAAACGGAATGCGCGTGCAGCAATTAGGTGGCAAAAACAAATAAGATGTAGTGTAAAGCAGCGCCACCAATTGCACACACGGACACGAGTCCCGACAATATCAACTGGATTAATTTGTACAATATAGGTATTTGTTTTTTTTTTTTGCCCTCAACAGTGACATACCTACCTACCTACCAGTATTCAATGAGATCCACACTTACTTAATTTTACACTTGTCTGTTTAGCGGATCAAACATGTAAAAACACGAACAGTCAGCAATAACCATTATATTTGTAACTTAACTTTTTGATGTAGCATAAAAGTTTGTTATAGTCGTATGACCGTATTTCACGATCGCCGTCACCCCGTTTTTTTCCGACAGTTCGCGCCACTCCCGCCCAGTTCCGCGGCGGCATCCCGGCCTTCTCGGCCGCCTCCTCAGCCTCGGGAGCCAGCCTACCGACCAGCAGCCCTGCCGTTTCCGATACAGCCTCTGTGGGAGACAAGTCCACCGGAGACGACACGTCTCCGCAGCTGGAGACAAAGGCCAGCCGGCCCAGGAAGCGCAAGGAAGTCGAAAAGCGCGCCTCCAATTCTAGTGGTGAGTGGGGTAAATCGGTGCGGACGGGAGGCCTGGAGGATTGTTGTCAGTCTAACGTGGATGTTTGGCAGGACAGAGGCCAGTTTTACCAACAGAAAAATAGCCATGCCTGCCGGAATTTCTTGCCTAAAGACCGCTTCACATACCGAGTGTAAACGCGATGGGCTAGTAAGTGGACGGGGCTTTACCGTTTACGTTCCGTACATGTGAAGCGGTCTTTAGGCAAAAAATTCCGGCAGGCGGCTATTTTTCTCTTGGTAAAACTGGCCTCAGGTCAAAATACCACGTGAGGGCTTTCTGATCGCCCTGAGGTGAGTCAGCGCAGGGCATGGGTCATTTCAAGGTAGTCTTGCCCGTCATGGGTCACAAGTCAACTAACTGTGAAGTAAAACAAGTGACAACCGCGGTTAGGTTACTCAATAGCTACGGTTGACCCAGCTCTGTGACCGAACCACCACCCACTAACGGCTTCTCTCAACAGCCATTTACCCTTGTCTCGTATATTATCAATCATCAGATTTATAGTGTCGGTGTTGGGCGCGGTCGGCCGCAGTGTGGCACCATGCTGTGGTTTGAGGACCTGACCTGACCTGACCGGGCCGGGGCGGGGCAGGCCGTCCTCCCATTAGCACCGGGTCGTGACCGGCGCCGTGCCGCGCCGCGCCGTGTCGTGACGAGGGCGTGACGCCGGCGACAGTGTCGTTACGGTGTCGTTACGGTGCGGGGATGCCGTACGACGGAGTGGAGCCGATAATAGCGACTGAGCCTGCGTCGTGACCACGCATTTCGACTCCGAAGTGAAGTGGAATTTATGGCGCGCGCGAGCTGTGGTTAACGGTTGACACCCATGGTCGCCGCTTCTATTTCTTATAGCACGGATTGTTCGTTGAGCTGTGTCGACAATTTGTCGCGCGTGTAAAGCTTCAACTAGCCCAGTGTCCTCATCAATTTGATGCATATCTAACAAAACGGCACAAATTTCATGCGAAATGCTAGGGACGACGAGAAAAATAAATATAGCATAAAGACTTTGGAAAATATGATACGCTATTTTAGTTATATTAAAGCACATACAGAGGCTCATTCACACATTCAATCGTAACTTTCTTTCAATCGCTTGTATAATTGATGTATTTCTCGTTTCCCGCTTTGACACTTTTGACAAACGATGCAGCGTCGTGCATTCAATCAGTTGAATTCGAGGCCCGATTGAGATGCAACGAAAACAATCGACACGGAAACTGTCAACAACTTAACCGTTCGTTCCTCTCATTTCAATTCACAAGCATCGAGCGATTCGACATTCAACACGGAGTATGGATCCTTTCCCCAATTTGAATTCATGAGAAGTGGGTCCAAGCTCGGTACTGCATTGCTAAGTATGCGTGAGAATTATCACTGTATTCAAAGCATAGATCAACGTCTTCCCTGCCGGGGCATAATCATCAGAAACACACCACAGCGTCCGATCATTGAGCGGCTTCAGCCTATGAGGAGAGAAGACATGATCGCTGTCAGGGGCGGATCCAGGAAAACTCCAAGGGGAGGGTCATGAATCGAAGTGGTGCCCCTACCTATACCCAAAATTAAAAACTCAACGGATTTCGTCCACTTCATTTTGGTGTTGCCCCCATTTTCAGTTTTTTTTTCTTTTTATTTTTTATTTTTAGTCAGTATCTTAACTCTTAGCCACAACCACATTTACCAATTGTAAGCAAGTATATATGAATGTGCTATGTGTATATATGTTGTGGACGCTGAGTAGTGAGTACTTACCAGGAACGTTATCAGGTAAGCAAATCGTTGTCAGTCCGACGAACTTGACCCTGGCGTCTAAAGGGTCTGTCCTTGACACTTCAGGCTTATCAGGGGCACCAAAGTCCTTCCAGGGACACCACAAACCTGTCAGGGGCACCTACGGCCTTGTAGGGGCGCCACAGGCCCGCCAGGGGCACCACAGGCCTGCCAGGAAGCAGGGGCACCACAGGTCTAGCAAGTATACACGACAGGCCTGTCAGGGGCACAACGGGCCTGTTGGGCCCATGAGCACCCCTAGGAGCAGGGGCACCACAGTCCTTCCAGGGGCACCGCAGGCCTGTGAGGGGCACCAGCGGCCTAGCAGGGGCACCAGTCAACACAGGCCTGCCAGGGGCACCAGAGGCCTGCCAGGAGCACCACCGACCTCGCAGGGGTAACTTGGGCCTGTCAGGGCCCAGGGGCACCACGGGCCTGTCGAGAGGCACTTCAGGCTTTTCAGGGGCACCATAGTCCTCTCCGGGCGCAGGGGTAGCAGGGGCACCAGAGGCCTGCCAGGGGCACTACAAGCCTAGCAAGGGCACCACTGGTCTATCAGGGGCACCACGAGCCTGTCATAGCCAGGCATCTCAGGCTTGTCAAGGCCCAGGGGCACCACAGGTCTGTGAGGGGCACCAGCGACCTAGCAGGGGCACCAGTCAACACAGGTCTGCCAAGGGCGCCACAGACCTGCCAGGGGCACCACAGGCCTGCCAGGGGCACCTTGGGCCTGTCAGGGGCACCACGGGCCTGCCGAGGGGCACTTCAGACTTTTCAGGGGCACCAGTCCTCTCCGGGCGCAGGGGTACCAGCGGCCTAGCAAGGGCACCAGGGGCCTTCCAGGGGCACCAGCGGCCTAGCAAGGGCACCAGAGGCCTGCCAGGGGCACCACAGGCCTAACAAGGGCACCACGGGCCTGTCAGGGGCACCTCAGGCTTGTCAGGGCCCAGAGACACCACAGTCCTTCCAAGGGCACCGCAAGCCTGTCAGGGGCACCAGAGGCCTGCCAGGGGCACCAGAGGCCTGCCAGGGGCACCAGAGGCCTGCCAGGGGCACCACAGGCCTAGCAAGGGCACCACTGGCCTGTCAGGGGCACCTCAGGCTTGTCAGGGCCCAGGGGCACCACAGTCCTTCCAGGGGCATTACAAGCCTGTCAGGGGCACCAGAGGCCTAGCAAGGGCACCACAGGCCTGCCAGGGGCACCACCGGCCTTGCAGGGGCGCCTCAGGCCTATCAGGGCCCAGGGGCACCAGGCCCGTGGTGTCCCTGCTAGGCCTGTGGTGCCCCTGGCGGTCCTGTGGTGCCCCTGTCAGGACTGTGATACCCCTGATAGGCCGGTGGTGCCCCTGGCAGGTCTTTGGGCCCCCGGGCCGCAAGGGGGGGGCCATGACCCATGTGACCCCCCCCTTGGATCCGCCCCTGATCGCTGTTGTGATCGCCGTTATCACTCGCAACGTTTTACGACAAATTCAAAAAAGAGAAAATCGAGCTACCGAATCGTTGGCCTGATTCGACTGAAAATGATAGAACGCACGGGTCATCCTGCCCGAATTCTTTATCCGAATTCCGCCCCCAATTCTGTGCTCGGCAACTCCCGGTCGAATTCGACCCTTATAATGCCTTTTCCGTGCCGGTTATGCAGGTGTCCCTCCCGGACTGTCCCATCTCGGTCCTGTCGCCGCCCACAGTCGCATTCCTGTCCGTTTGGAGACCGTCTCCAACCACAAACGAGGTCGTGGAGCATCAGATAACATCGCCACCCATGTCAGAGATGAAGAGGAACAAAATCCGCCGCTCAGAGGTGCTCTGTTTTTTTTTTTGTAGAAATTAAAAGGCAGATATGTGCCTTGAAAGTTGAAAGAATTAATGTCATCGGCTTTTCGATAAAAATACATTTTCGGGATGTTCAGATTGTTGCACACAAAACATTATCATTCTATCTGTGCAGTGCCCGAGATGGAATGAATTTCTAAGGATAGGCGGTTTCGGTCTGATGCGACCATCCCTGAGCCATTGGATCATACAACGATAAAGAGAGCATTTAGGCTTTCGATATTGGCTTTCAATATAGCAACGTGTAGCTCCTCGCAGCTGAACTATGTATAAGCTAATATGAAAAGATTTCGAATAACTTCGTGAGTAGTGAGCACCCAAGAGCATGACTCAGCAACTCTACAATGGGTTGCACTCACATCATATAATGGCTCCGCAAAACAATTGGTCTGGCAGGTGGTTAAAAGGTAAACAATCGCCCCCACCATTGGCATTTTTCGCGCCATGACTGGCCGTGGATGGCGAGGATCCGGGAAGCGACCGAAGATACAGTGGCTGTCTGTCTGTCAGGCCGAGGGAGAGAGTCTCCGCGTCAACATATCGGCCGCTATCTTTCCGCCTCCTCGCCCGGCGATCTCCGCTGACCTATTGCCGTCCTCAAAACGTCCATTGTTGTCCTCTCCGGGCGCGCTGATGGTATCGGTCACGTGACTCGGCCCCACTATATCCGACAGTGTTCCATCTGGGCGCACTGACGCTCAAAAGACAGGAGAAACGGCGAAGTGAGCCGAGGAGTCATGGTTTTCACCTGGAGTCTCGGGCCGTCTTGCCGTCGAGCGACGCGGGGGTCGTCTCGTCTCCCGTGGCGTCTCTCTCGCCGGTACCACCCCGGAGTCCCGTCTCTTTACGAGCCGGCCGGGAAGGCGATGTTTTCTCGACCAATTCTCCCCGTGTGATAAATTCCCGCTCCGTGCCGGCATGCATCACCCGTGCACGTAATCTCCTTGTTTTCGGTTCGGCTTTCGGCGATAAATTGTGGCACGGCGCCACCGCGGGCGAGCTCGTGCCTCGGCCGCCATGCCACCGGCGTTTCCCCGACCTCGCCCACAAAAACGGACGCCAAATCGGTGACCCAGGGTCACATCACACGCCGTCGGTGACCCAGCATCCTTGACAGCACCTGGGGCACCGCCCGCCCGCTGCGGACGCACCCGCCTTCTTTCATAGCCCAGTCGGTCAGTCATGTGCCAATACCTCCGTCTGCAGTTAGCTTTTATTTGTAAGTCCTACCAACCCTTTCTGTCCGACACATCACGCTTTCTTTCCGGCCGCACCGTTTACCGCCTCGGTCACACGAAAGGGTCCGGTCCACTCGCTCCGATGTGGAGCCGTGTGACAGGCCTGGGGTGCGTTCACGCACGTCTCACCTGCGTGACGCCCCAGTTCGACTCCTTGGCGCGTGGTGTGACAACATTACAGAACTCGTGTGACCGGATGCTACACGGCGCCGGCCGGGGAGTGGTCGAGTCGCCGCACGATAGAACGGCGACGGCCTATAGCCCGGGGGCGGTGGACTGTGGAGGGTCAACGATGGACCGGAGACGGTGGACGGTAGACAGTCCGCGCTCAAAACAGTTACGAGCACTTATACGTATTTATTGTTTTGTGGTACAACTTTTAATTGGTTTATTTACTCAGTCCATGATGCATGTTATTTACATGAATAACTTCAAGTTCATGCTTCACCGCACGCCACTTCTATTTGCGTCTATTTACATTAAATTACTGTGTACATTAAACACAGACACAGCTGTGTCATTTTTAAAAGCAAACAACCATGTAAAAGTCTAAATTACTCTAACCTAAGGACTAAGCAAGCTAACATCAAAGCATATTTTCTCGGAGGTTTCGTCTGGCGCGCGTGGCGTAATCTCCGTCCTCTCGCCCACTATTTGTCTTCACGCTCTCTCGATTGTCTCGCCTCTCGGTTGCCTCTTGAACCTCGAACGGTGACTAAATGCAGGTCATATGCCTCTCAGCCCACCACGTCGGCTGGCTAGCGGCGGGAGGCCGACTTGCGCCAGCATCCGAGCTTTATTACAGTGCCTGGAGCCCGGAGCTCCAGCGGCGCCTCTCGGGGTGTCTCTGGGGGGGGGGGGGGGGGGGCGTCTCTGGGGCGCCTCTCGGGCGTCCGCCGCTCCGGGCGCCTGACCGTCTGCTCTCTGCGTGTGGTGGGAGCCAGACAAATGGCCCATGGAGCCGGCAGAGCCAGGGTCAGCCCCGGCTGCAGCTCCTCCGGCCGGCGGGCCGGGCTTTCACTGCACCGTGCCACGCTGGGTCAGCTAATAGATGCCAGAGTTCACCCCAAAAACAGGCGCTCGATCAAAAACAGAGGCCTGACCTCTCACAGAGTGGCGACCAGGAATGCCTTGGATGTTTTTCGGGGGGGAAATTGCCACAGAGATAGATCATAGCGGTTAATAGTTCTGTCTACCCGGAAAACGGCACTACATTGCACTTAACGTCAAGATCCTTGAATCGTTTATTGTTAAAACGGTGTCAAAGCGCCATTTAGATACCTTCTTTTGATGGGCTGTCAAGACCAGCTGCTCAAACGACTATTCAGTGTCGATAGTGATTGATCGGTTTGATTTCAGACAATGATTTACACATGTGAGCCGACGACACAGCGTATTGTTATATTGATTGATCGCTGGTATGCGAAGTGGTATATCAAATAGCCGGAATGACTTCTCGGCCTGTTCGTATTTTGAACGTCAACGTACCATTGAAGAGATGAGAACAGATGTGGTTGCATAACCAGAAATGGCACAGTCGCAGTCGCTTTCGGAGCGACATAGATCGGATGTGTTCCCAATATTTTCAGTCCACACCTGCCTGTTGTTTGCTATATGGTCAAACATCGTGACGAGTCCGTCATCCGTGACACATCAAATATGACCAACTGCAAGTGATATTTAGATGCACAACGAATCTACAAACAATAGGAGGCTGTTTTCATACAGGATTACCATTAGGTATGGATTTAATGTTTATTTTATTCATCAACAATTTAATCAACATAACATTAATGTCTAATTCGCACCGTAGCCGTCTCCAACACCTCTCGTAACTGTATCTTCACGCTAACGCCCCTCGCTCTTTTACCCCGCAGCGGACTCTCTGGTCTCGGAGCCGGAGACGGCGTGCTCCAAAGGTCACGTGCTGCCGCTGTCCGGTGACCCGTCCACGCTGCGTCGAAGGGAGATCAGTCAGCTGTGCCGCCAGGTGGAGTCTCTCCAGGGCGAGGTGCGCTCCGCCCAGCTCACCATCAGCCGCTGCAACGAGCGCGAGAGGCAGCTGAAACACAAGTGAGAGACGGGGTGGACTGGGGCGGGTGGAAGTGGGGCTTGTAAGTTTAAACTCTAGTGTGTGAACGCGAGGTCTCTTATTTGATTTATACCCATAATATTGTTTTGCTTTTACGTTAAAGGGACCCTCTCACCTTCAAAAAAGTTAATGAATTGGCATGAAAGTGATGGTCGCTCGGTTCAGAAAGAGCAAAAACGAATATCTACCAAATTTCATCGAAAAATATTCACCGGTTTTCAAGATATAAGACTTTTACTTTTGTTTACTTTTTGGAATCTCCGCTGTTCCTAGCGACTTTATTTGAAAGTGCGGCATTTGTTGCGCGCAAAGCAGCATATACCACCGCGTGCTACAAAACGTTTTAGTCAAACATTTAACGGACGTTCGAAAGCCTGATGACGTCATCAGATTCCCGTAATGGTTAAGAGATAGGGTCCACGCTGGTCCCACCCTGCAAGTAAAGGGAAGAAATTTCTTGAACACCATAAAGCTGCGGGGGTTGCGACCAGGATAAATGGTGGTTTCTGAGCCTGGCCGCAAACTTGGCTATCTCAACTCAAAACTAATGTTAAGGTGGGAGGGTCCCTTTAAGTAAAGAGGCGTTGGTAACAGTTCCTAGAATTCATATTTCAAACTTGGTTGTGATAAATACATATATAAAATACACATATTCTTATCCGAGGGAGAGGTGCTGCAACGTCTATTTTAATTCGGTAATGTCACTCCGACCGATTTGTTTTGAAGTAGGCCCCGGTCGCTACCATCTCACGTTTATTTTGCTGCGTCTCCACAAACCGCCCCGAGAGTTGTTATGACTTGGTTATGACATGTGTATGTAAGCCGTGGCTCGTTTTATTGTGCCGAGTTACGAGGTACGAGTGGGAAATGATTCGATTCGCTCAGGCTCCTACGTAGCGGTACTGTGGGGACGAAACGGTGGGCGTGGGAAACTCCGTTCCCAGGACGAGTTATTTTGCATAATTTCGCTTACGATGAATCGAAGCAGCCAACCGTTCAGTTGGGCATTAGTCCACGGTAATTTCATAGTCGGTAGCCCCCACATGCTGAGAAGCTTCCATAATTTCGCCGGCGCATTGATTTCACACCCTGTGATGAGCCTTGCTGGTCCGTTGTCGAATCGCTTTGCGGCGAAGCTCTCGCGACTGCAGTGTCGACTTGGAGCAAATTGAAAGCCGCTCTCATCCCACCACTGCGGTTGACTAGTCCAAACTCATGTCTCATGCGAGAGTTATGTGTTTCCACCTCACCGACTTCAAATCCGTGTCAGTCTGCTCCGCTCTCATCCATGTTTCACGATCTCCCGATCAGCCTCCGTTCAATGTAATCCTGTTTACGCCCTGTCCCCCACAGCCCTTCTCTTCTGCATACTCTTACCGTCGTTCGTATTTACGTTGCCTGTGAGCCCCAACTTTCTCTCTTACGCATTTTCCACTCCATAGGCCGTCCTACCGATCGTCATATACAATTGGCTTTGGACGTCCTCTCCCATGTGATTCTTTGAAACCATTGAATCACGGTCTGTCTCGCTCTATTATATGTATATTCTGTTATTTTTTATGAAGTATTTGTTTAGGTATGCTTCTTTAACGGCGTGTCTGTCCCGGCAGATTATCTGAACACCAGCGCTCGGAGCCGCAGCACCAGCCCCTCTCCCGGACAGAAAATGTCACCTGTATCGACATCGATAACCGGTCAGCAGGCCTGATCCGCCGGTTCGGGGCACTCTACTCACACGGGAGAGCCGAGGCCATGGCTGCCCTGGACGCGCTGCCCGAGCTCAGGAACTCAGAGGAACTCAAGTCCAAACTGCTCTTCAGCGTGGTGGTGGTAAGTTAAAGACGAGATGTGGGCTGTGTTGTTGTGGACTGTCGGTCTGTGCATGTGAGTGCACGACACCCTTGCTTGAAAGACGTCACCATAGCTTTGGAATAGGTAATGTTCAGCGTCGCACATATCGTACATGACTCATTTTTATTTTTGCTTTTCTATTATGTGCGGAATAAGGTCGATATTCGCTAAAACCAATATATGTAATCCTTTTTGATAGCGCTGAATTAAATAAATGTCACAAAATCACGCTGATCATGCACATATTTCGATATGACGAGCGGCCATGGGCAGAAAATTTAATGAAATTAGAAGTGCAAAACTTATACCCTTATACCTACTTATATTTTCTCGCTGGTACCATTGCAGCTTTCACTCAATGTGCTTAAATGACTTGTCACATTTGCTTGGGCTTCATAAATCGATATTTGAAACGTGTGCGTGACATTCATTTCTCACGATGTTCTAGCAACTTAGCACGTCGTAAACTGGTCTGTAATGACAACTTAATCTTGTTTGACACCGTCCAGAACGCCGAATCACTTCGTTTTGAGCCTTTCCCTTCAGCAGACGGCAGACCTCTCATAGCAGTGATATGTAATGGATGACCCCATCCATTAACTTTTATCGACAGAACAAATTCCCATCCGAAGCAATTCCATGAAAGTGAACAACAGCTTCCTTTTCTCCGCGCGGCCTCGGCCCCGAAGATTGAGTGTTGTTTGGCACCCCGCCCGTTGACACTCTCCTACGTTCGGTTGATTTCTTACCGATATCATAATCATGTCGCCGGTCAGTGAAGCGAGAGAAACGCTCCGCCACTCACTCTCTTCTCGCAGACGGCTCCCGTTCGAAACACTCCCGATCGTAGCCCGGCTTCCAAAACAGCGTCTCTGCGACACTGTAGAGTGTAGTGAAAGAGAAAAAGATTATCCCTCGAGAAAGAACTCGAGTGAGAGCGAACGTCGCCTGGCGCCTCGTCCGCTTTGTTATCGATTTCTTCATGAATGGCCCATTCTCGCGGCGAGTCTAAGTGGCAGGAAGTGGTCATTACGTCTCTGTGGGACGGGTTACGAGTTTGGGTAATGACAGGCTTGTCAGAGCCGCTGGCTAGTGGCGTCGGCTGGAGTGGTCACCCGATCAGCGTTACCACGCCCCTGCCACCGCGGACCGATGATGGTCAGTAACGACCCGTGACGATTCGTGATAACCCGTGACAAGCCGTGACGAACGGTGAGCGACCCGGAATTGGCCTGCAGCCGACCCGTGATGGGTTAGTGACGACCCATGACAGGGCCAATCTGCGATCCGGTGATGACTTCATGTAATGGCTGTAACGGAGACAGGGACTGTCCGTCGAAAACCTGCGGATCTTTTGTGAAATTACGTCACAAGTACGCAAAAGTCGCGCAAGTGAGTGGCCAGCCACTCACTCGGTAGAGAAATTCACTTGGAATTTACTCTACGTCACAAAAAAGTGACGCCGTACTGTCTCATGCTTGACCTAAAGGCGTGCCATATGGCCCAAATTCGCCATGCTTGACCTAAAGGCGTGCCATATGGCCCAAATTCGCACACGTGACGTCGCGTAAACAGCCACTTGTTTTCCCATTGTATGTAGAAACGAAGTCTGGAAATGACAGTCACGGGACCTCGGAGTTTGGCTGTTTGGAATTCCGTAACACCATCGGTTATGAAACTGGAGAGACCTTGTGCTGTTTTTCGGTTCATCGGCTATTGGTGCGGGTGTCTTCATGTGACACGGTTTTATCGCACGAAACAAAAGGCGCCCGGACATCGATTTAATTTTCTCCCTGATTGGCTTCTTTCGAAACCTCGCATACTTGCCTCTGACCCCATTTCAACTGTCATCGGTCTATTTCGTAGGCATACTCCAGCCGACCCTGACACCATCTGACCTTGGCTTGCAGTTCAATAAACCGTTTCCATTGTCCGACTGTTTGTCGAGCTTCTGCAACCCTTTTCCATATGATTGTGGCCTATGCCCCAGCTGACCTGTGCCCCAGCTGACCTCTCCCCGTGTCCCAGCTGACCTCTCCCCGTGTTCCAGCTGACATCCCCCCGTGTCCCAGCTGACCTCTGGGCCCGTGTTTCAGCTGGCGTTCCGCTCGGTGACCTCTCCCTCCCTCCTGTGCCCCAGCTGACCTCTTTCCGTGTCCCAGCTGACCTCTGCCCGTGTTTCAGCTGGCGTTCCGCTCGGTGACCTCGGGTCAGCAGGCGGTGAGGGAGGTGGTCCGACGTCAGCTACAGATTCCGCCGCCCCCTCCAGCCTCCCACCCTCAGCCGCCGGGCAGAGGAGACCCGACGGCTAGCGAGCGGAGCAACCAGCTCGAGCGTACCATCACTACCTTCCTCCAGCAGACGGTCGACACGTACGACCTCTCCAACAACGTGGAGGTGAGAGCTCGTCAGAGCAGTCAGGTCGCCGGTGACCGTTTAAAAACCGTCCTCCGCCGCCGCGCCGAGCGAGAGTGAGACCGGTTTTAATCGTATTCTGCACGGCGTTTAGCGCCGTTTAGCGAACTAAGGGCTTAAAGAGTGAAATGTAAGCCTGTTATCTAGTGATAATGTAAAACTCTGTTAGTCGCACCTGTCTAGAACAACTTTAGAAAGTTGTTAGAGGAATAATACCTACAAGACATATGTAGGTATAGTTTAAAGGGACCCTCCCACCTTCAAAAAAGTTTATGAATTGGCATGAAAGTGATGTCGCTCGGTTCAGAAAGAGCGAAAACAAATATCTACCAAATTTCACCGAAAAATATTCACCGGTTTTCAACATATTAGACTTTTACTTTTGTTTACTTTTTTGGGATCTCCGCTGTTTCTAGCGACTTTATTTTAGAAGTGCGGCGTTTGCGGCAGATGTTGCGCGCAAATAGCATATCCCATCGCGTGCTACAAAACGTTTTAGTCAAACATTTAAAAATCGTTAGATATTTGCGCTGACGTCACACATTCAGAGGGGTATTCCTAAGCATTAGCCCCTCTGAATCAAAATGCTGCAATTTTGAAATTCAATATTTCCGATTTAAGGCATTTCTCGATGTTGTGAGTGCCGAAACCGGTAATTGTGAGCCAGGGACCCCATTTTGGCTATCTCAACTCAAATCTAATGTTAAGGTGGGAGGGTCCCTTTAAGTTGCATTTACATACACGTGACGGATTCCTATTTTTGACGGTATCATATAACCGTTTATTTCTACGATATACATACTTACATAACAGCTAACTAAGTGTATTACGAATCGTTCAACAAATGATACCGCATCACTCACCCACACCCATCTCACCCCATCTCACCGCGCCCGTTTCCCGCACACAGGAGGTATGCAGTCAGATCTGGGCCACCCTGTACGACTACCCGTCCCTGCGCACTACTGAGGGACTGCTCAGCTATGTGAAGGAGAGTGTACGACTGGCCTGGGGACTGATCAACCAGGTTAGTGACGCAAAGCTAGTAGCGTGTGACTGAATCGTGCCATTAACCTGAATGGAACATTACCCTCTCCCCGTATTATTGTTCGGATCGTATGACTGGAATGGATCAAAGCAGATATCGGCTTCTCTTCTACAGACTGTTTGTGAATGTGATTCTAACCTTTGACGCTGTCAATCTGCTATTTTAATTCAAGATTAGATTTCGAGTCATGGCTTGGCTTATCCGTAGCTTGGATGTCTTTGCTTCATACTCCCTACGCCTATACAGCGCACGCATGGAGTGCATTCTATTTTAGCAAAGCAGTGTTCGAGAATCTACCCAAAGCCCTCACCCCTCAGTAAAGCATCTGACCCGTCTGTCCACCCGCAGACGCCGCCATGCCGTATCGAGTACGAGGTGCGTCAGTTCAGCAGCGACCTGCACGTGCGGCACCAGGCCTCCGACGCCGGCCAGAGTGTCGTGCAGACCTACGTGTGGCCGGCACTGATGGAGGAGTCGCTCTGCGTCCAGAAGGCGGTCGTCATAACGTGATGACAGTCAGAGTGGCACGGTCGGTCAGGCAGAGAGCGGCCGTGGAGGTGGGTGAACGCGACACGCGGGAGGCGACAGAAGACAACGACGACGACGACTGGGACGGCACCGACGGCTCCGACGCTCGCGACGACATGCGACGTCCCGCGACGAGCCTTGCCCCTCTGTCCCTCCCCTCACTCTTTCTTCTCTCTTCTCTGACTGTCGCTCTTTGGAACGGAGCTGCGTGCTCGTTCCAGGCAGACTTCTCTAACTGTACCTCAGAGACAGACAGCGACCACCGACGTCTGACAGTAACAAACCGACTGACCGGGCCCGAACTAACTTCGATACTTCCGAGACTATAAGCTAACCGACAGATGAAATTAACAAACCAGCTTTTGAGACGACCGACTAACCAATCGACCAAAGACGGGACAATTACTAATCGACTTCTCTGTCACTCAATAACAAAGACGAGACCAATTCTGACGCGACAACGACACTTGTCTTCTCTAGCTGTCTTTCGTGTGAACTGTCGTCTTCATCTGTGACTGAATCATCTTCGACATTTGCATTGCATTGCCTCTGACGCACCATCGTGCTCTTGAGAATGACTCTTCTTTGATGGATTGCTCGAAACGTTGTGTATTGTGCTGAATCATCTGAGTAGGTGCGTTTTCGGTCGTTCCTGAAATGCCATTCGAGCTCTTGAGCGGATTTTGGGTAGCTTATCATGCTTACCGATTTGATGCGCATATTTGCTGGAAGTAATATTTTGCAATTTGCATTTCAAAACAAAGATAAGGGTCATATGCGAATTATATAACGCATATGTGTCGCACTGTCGGCACTCGGCAAACGTGCATTGTTTTCCACCTTATTCGTGATAGATAAGCAGCATATCATCTCTGGAGCTCTCATATCTTGTCATTAGCTACAAATGACACCTCAGGAACGCTCATGTTCAGTGATTTTGTGCTGTCCGTCCGTCCCCATACTTTCAAATTGTCAACTGGCATGATCAAGACGATTGGCGATATCGTTGTATGCATTCATCTTCTTCCCATGCTGTCCAGTGTTCTCTAACTGGAGGGGGCTTGTTAACCCAACCAGGCGAACGATCATTTTCCCGCTTCGTTCTATTCACTAACACCATCTCCCATATGCAGCCAGAAGCTCCTCTCTAACGCAGACCTGTTTCCAGATACCACCTGGCGTCGGGAAATGTAACTACAAGTTCGGCGGCGGCGGCTGCTCGCAGAGGGCGCTGCCGTCGCCGCTGCCTGGCGGACGGGACCGGACTGCGGACTCTCCGCCATCTGAAGGCGGGCCGAGGACAGCCTGTCGACTACCGCTTCAACCGCAGGAAGCCACCTGCGGCTTAGAGGACCTCTGAACCAACTACCGTGCTCTCGCTGGCGTCTCAGAACAAACTTCTTCGCCTGACTTGTGACCGGCGTCTTTACTGAAGCAGCTCCGGCGTTGAAAGCTTTACAACGCCGAGAAAAGCAATTTTGTCATGTAAATACGATGCTTTTGTACAGCTTATTTGTGAATACTCCTGTGTAAATAGCAGACCTGTTTTTAGCGTGTTATGCGATTGTTATCCTGTTTGTTAGCTGTGTGAATTGCACCCACTCGCGTACGCTGTTTGTGGGGCACCGTCGCACCCCGCCCCGCGACCGTCGCTCGCCGGGCGGGCGTGCGCTGCCCCAGGGTGACACAGCCGGGTCGGCCGCCGACCCCCGGGCTCGCTGTACGATCCGCCCGGTCACACCCGAGACCAGACGTCCGGGAACTTCTGGAACGTGACGTGACGTTCGACTGAACCTTCCGTGCCATCGACGACCGGTGCTTCCGAGTGTGCTCCTGTGAATGTTTTCGTGTCGAATGGTGATGCGCGTGTTGACCAAATGGGATGAAGTTTTTAAAATACCATTGACTACGGTTAACAATAACGGATGGTGTTCCGTAGACCGCACGAACATAATGTGTTACCTATATGTTAGTTGCCGGGCGTTATTGAATGGGACGGATCGCAATGTAAATAATATGGCAAGTTTGCACATTTATACGATTCCAGTATGCAACCAGGCTCGATTACGCAAACAATTGTTGCGAATAAGTTATATTGTGCGTGTGTGGGATGCTGCACTATTTTCCGGGGGCGTTTTCTGTGCTCGCTAAGGCCCTGTCGTGTTACGTGTTTATAATATGTATCCGGTATAACCATCCGCTAACAAAGCACATCTGTCCAGTAGTGGCGATACCCGCTGTGGGGAGCTCTCCGTCTCGCTGTCACAGTTCCCTCTCAATAAACGCCGGTCACAGTTGTAACATATAGTTCCTTCAGTTTGCTGCAGTGTGGATCACGGTTATACCCGTGCGAGGCACTTTGGGCGGTCCGTGAGCTCACGGACTCCCTCTGAGCGACGAGGGCTGTCCGACGACACAGGCGGAGTCACTTCAGCCACACACAGACATACAGACACCGCACAGGTGACCACTCACACGTAAATACGGTACGCATAAACAGACACCCACCCGCAAGACTAGTGACAATATAATTCATCACGAAACATCCAACTCCTTTGAACGCCCAAAAATCGTCAACGCCATCTAGCAGGCGTTTGTGCTATGAGCTTATATCAACTCCGCGCAGGATAACTCGTTTCCACGCCCAGAAGCCAGGTACGATTATCGGCAGTGACTGCCGACTCAGAACAGTGACAACCTGGTATTGCATGAGCCACTCGAGCATATGTATACTGAGGCACCAATTGCACGTACACACCCACGCACGCACGCACTCACGCTCACATGCACGCTGCACTCGTAGGTGCGGTATTACCTATACTGGCCCGCCGTGTACGCGCGCTATACAATTCGTTAGAGGTGAGACATCACCCGACACAGCAGCTCTGAGTTTTATATACCTGGAGAGACATCCGTTCTCTCCATCCAGCGCTAGTAGCGCCCTCAGCGGTCTCCGTCGCCGCAGTCACCTGGTATCTAAATCTAACAACTCGTGTGCCGCGCGGTCGCCCGGCAGCTCAACAGCTCTCCGCGAAAATGCAGTAAAGGCTGAGCTACCCACCCCGCCCGCCCGCTCGGCGTTGTACAATACCAGGTTCCACGAAACGCCAGCGCGCGGGCCACGAAACGCCAGCGCGAGGACTCTCCAGTAAAATATCGCACGCCGTAACAAATCACACGAGGGCTGAATCGAGCCCAGTCGGAGCGCCCGGTACCCAGGGGCGCAGCTGAGCAGTGGTGCTGAGCTATCTACCACAGTGGGCTCTGTGGATGGCCTCTATAGCGGCGGCGGGGGCGGCGGCGGCGCCTGCGGCTGGTGCACCGGCGGCTGGTGCTGGTGCTGTGGCTGGTGCTGGTGATCAGACATGTCCACCGGCGGGGCGGGAGCGAAACTCCGCATCGGGTTCAGGTCGAAAATCTCGATCAGCAGCGGCTCCACGTGCAGCGGGTCGACGTCCATGAATATCTTGATGTGGTCCTCGTTGAGCCGGTGGAGTTCCTCCATCTTTTTGATGAGTTTGAGGAACTCAGAGCGGGCCTCGCAGGGACTCATGGTGGTGAGAAGGTAGCGCCGCAGCAGGTAATAGTAGGACTCCTGAGAAAGGAGGGACGACGCGTCAGCTAAGAACGGCATCGACATTCGACAGAGTACCGCCAATGTCACGGGACATGCTATTTATCGAACAATATCAAACAGTGTGTGTCCTCAAAACCTGTCCCACCAAATAGCCCAGTAATCCATTCTGTTCGTGCTAGGATATTTCTGCAATGCTATGGAAACCGCGTTGCTCGCGACTGCCCGAGCTACCCGAGTACAAACATTGGTACGGCGTGCAGCACGGCGCCGATATTTGTTTCCTATATCCGGTCCCGACAGCTCCAAACAGGGGAAGTGGCGCCCGATTGTTGCTCTGCTGACTATGAGTCATAGACCATCCGCCCTATTAGATAAGAGTGGACCCTCGAAAGCAAGACGAGAGGGGTCAAGCTGAAATTAACATGTGGTGCAGGAAGTAACCCGGCTAGCGCGGCATGACTTGCAAACTGATTCTGACAGAATTTGACTCTCCCCGGGAGACTGTTTTTTTTTTTAATGCAGCGGGGCTGGCTCGTTTGGAATACACCAAGTCAGGGAAACATGGAGCCAGGGAAGTTCCCTTTGGTACTAGGGTGATTCCACGCTCACGAAAAAGCAAGCTCGCTGGCAAGAAGCACAAAAAAGAAATCCCATCGGAACTGGGGAGGAACCCTCATTCTGGTTTTCTTTGGTGCTTTCTTTGGTGAAACCCCAGACGTAGTCGGTGACGTGTTCAAAGGCCATATAAGCAGGATCGAACCTTGAATTTAAGCAACTTTATCCTGACTCAGGAGCATGTCCCAACCAACCATAAATCGCCGCTGGCCATGACACAATTAATTCGAAAGTTCCAGAACTTCAAGCTACACTATGTAGCCTGACTTGACTACGTCAGTGCAGGACTGGGCCTAATTGCAAAACGTGACCCCACCGTATAACCAGCGAAAGTCAGGAAATTATGCTACACGCACCAGTCGCAAAGCGAGGTCAGGTGCCACTTAAACAATAACACATGTGCATTGGCTTTCACACACCCCTCAGTCACACAAAACATTTCATTAGCATTAGTCCTTGACCTTAAACACCAGCAATATTCACCAGCCCTTGCTCACAAGTCACAGCTCACGTCCCCGGCAAAACACAAGCTACCTGACGAACTAACAACTCCCTATGACTCCCTAACAACTCCCTTACAACTGCCTGAACGTCTCCTTCCCCACCTCCCCCTCCCCCCACCAGCCAGCCTGTATCTTCCCTCGCTCATCCACTGACCTGCTCCAGGGTGATGGCATCGACATGCTCCAGGTTGGGCCGGGACGGACAGAACAGCGTGATCGCGCTGATGATACCCATGATGTAGGGGTCCGTCTTCCAGCGGTGGCTGAAGGTACGGTTGAACTGCTTGTGCTCCTCGTACACGTCGTACGGCGCCTTCTTCAGCACGTTCAGCTTGATGCTCGTGTAGTCGGTCTCATTGGCGCGAATCTGGAAAAGGCGGCAAACGGTGGCCGTAGAGGTGATTCTTACTAGTAGGAGTTGGGGCAAGGACATTTTAAGCCGGTGAAATGACGATCGATATGACGCGTTTTAGCACGAACAAAATAATTCGTAAAAACTTTCTTGGGTGGTTACTGGTAACTTATGCCAACTTTTGAACGATTGAGTCCCGCCACTTGAGCTGCAGTGTAGCAGAGAATATAGTTAAGATACATATTCAAACAACTAAGAACGGGTTGCACTTCCCAAGGGCACAAGACCTGGACAACGCAAGTCACTGGCGACCTCCTGCTCCTACCCCAACTTCATCCCAACACACACCCTACAAATATCCAACTCACATTCCAGCTGTTGTTCTCAGCATCATACGTGGTGACGCTCCTCAGAATCATCAGCTCCGTGCATCCGCCCTTGAGCAGCGCGATCTGGTCCCGCTGGCAGAGACTGCGGAAACTGCTGATCTTCTTCGACATCTTGATCAGCCGCCGGATGGCGATGTCGCACAGGTTGATGACGTTGATCAGGGACGGGTCCGTGTTCACCAGATTCTGTGAAAGATGGAGGCGTAAAGACATTGTCGAATGCAATGACTCTAACGGTAGACGCAGGCAGTCCACACGCATTTTCGGTATCCGGATACTGAGACACATGAGCTATCTTTTACCAGAAAAAAGGCAGAACAAAACACTGTTTATATGTAAAGCCGCATGCAGATAAGCAGCAAAACATCTGGACCAATGAAATACATTCACACAGATATATACCCAATGAACTATGCACACATCTCACGTGCCCCGCTCCTCTTCCATACTCAGCACGCACATCACGGCATACCATAGTCCATCTCCGTTCCTCATCACACTCTGCCATAGTCACCAGCCCTATTAACCACATCAACGCCACCTCAACATTATCAACATCAACACCCCCATCATACCAATCAAACCCAGGGGGAGGCACTCGCCTTGGCCGTATATGGGCCAGAATGTCTAACGATTTCCGCCATGTTGTGTATACCAAAGTCTTGAAAAGTTGATCACTGCAATCAAACTGCAAGCATGAAGCAGCAGCACTTTTGAGTAGTGTACCTCTCACTAAACTGCACGTCTGCTACCGTACATGCAATTTACATTTCTGGTATACACAACATGGCGGAAATCGATAGACAAAAACAAGTCTTCAATGCTCCTTCCAGTATATATTAGAGTTCAGTGATCAAACCCCGCCAGCAGACTCCCTCATCCCACCACTCACCACAAACATATTGTCCTCGTTGAGCGGTGCCATGAGCGCCTGTTCGGCCTCGAACAGTTCGTCGATCTTGTCTCGCTCGGCGCGGTTCAGCGCCCCGGTCGGCAGCACTGGCTCACGCAGCTGGGTGTCACTGAACTCGGCACGGAGTGCCTTGCCCAGGATGGTACTCATACTGATGGAGCTGTGGGTGGGGAAAGGGGTGATTAAAATTTAAAATGGGAAGACTGTGTTGAATTTACGCATGCAGCGAGTTCAAGTATGACCGAAGATTCACAGATCATTAGGGAGCACCGCGGTATGCACAATTAAAGCGGGCCCATCACCTCAGTATCTTGTAAACAAATGAAAGATTGATCTGAACGAAAGATACATACACCCGACCGTCCCTCGCTTTCAGTTAACCATTATGAGTGTCAGTCCGCCCTCCCTTATCCTACACATTTCCCCATCCCATCTCCTCATATCTCGGCACCTCACCCGTCATCAATGGAGGTCGGTTCGGGCGGCGAGTCGGGCACCTGCACACCGCAGTGTTTGAGTGACAGCGGCGACATCTCTCCCACCATCCTCCTCTGTCCCTCCGCGGGCGGCTCGTGCGCCCCGGCCGCGCCCACAGCCGCTGTGGGTCCGCCCGGGGACGCCAGCCCGTACCGGTAGGGTGACACCGGACTGTGAGGCAGCCAGCCGGAAGGGGAAGTCTCAGCAGAGTAAGGGCTGCCCTGTTCGGCTTTGATGTTGGGCGTAAACCCCTCGCCGCCGCCGATCCCGCCGGCAGGAGCCACGCCGCCGTTGGTAGTCTGGTCGCACTTCCTCGAGCGGTTCTCGTTGATCTTCTGGCGCTTGACTTTGCGTTCTTCGTCGGTCATGATCCATTCTTTCTTCATGCCGATGGTGTAGCACTTCTTGAGTCGGCATTTCTGGCAGAAGCGCCGAGTGACAGTGTCGATGGAGCAGTTGTCCTGGAACGGACATCGAAACACCTGTTGAAGAAGAGAAACGGGTTAGATGTCGCCCGGAAACACTGGGCTTTTGGTGAAAAAAGGGTGAAGGTACAGAACAGAATCATGTCGATCTTGTTGGATTCGGTCGAGATGACATGGACATTGCATAGTGAACAAGTCATGCATGAGAGAACTCGTAAAGAAGATAAATTCCCCAACTCTTTAGTGGGTGATAGACGCAACGGATCATTCAAAGATATTGAGTAAAGCCGGCTCAATTGTGTTTGCCCTCCCGACTACACGTCAGCCTTTATCTCGCAACACTGTCGCCATGGGAGAACCGTCCATCATATCAGAGTATATAGAAACAACATATCACCACGAGTGGCGTCCTTTCCGAGCGCTATCGACGGACCGGGCCGGTTCACACCGGTTCAAACCGGACAGGGGCCGACTCCAGACGTGGTGGCCACCTCACGTGACCGTACACATGGCCGGCGGGCAAGGTCACGGGACGGCAGCCAGGCCCCTGTGACGGCGCGCGACTGCCCCCCCACGTCAGGTGGTGGTGTGTCCACCGCGGCAGAATTCCAGGCCACGGGATAAATATTGACCGAGAGGGGGGGGGGGGTCTATAAATAAATACTGGACCACATGGTCACACGGAAGGGGTGAGAGGGAGCCATTCTAACTCAGCATTCGGGCTTCAAGAGTAATGAGCAATCATTGACAAAAATCAAGGCTGTTGATGTTGATTCCTAGATGAAACAAGGGTCTGAACACCTCGACTAGCAGTGACAAAGGACAATCCTACTGTTAGATCCCTCCGTAGATGTTCTAGATGGTAGATTTTATGGTTTAGGTAGATGACTTACTTCAAGTGAAAAATTATGTGACACAGTGACTTTTAGAGGACATACATGATGCAACGCAGAAACGTACCAGTTGACCTCAGCTAATTCAATCTGACATTCATAACAGCCCCGCCCGCCACGGACACACCCGGCGTCCCGTGTGCTCAGGTGTGTGTGAGACAGCCCGCCACGCGGCCGTCTGCGACTCACTGTCACGGCCACACGTTATCGGTCGGCCACCGGCGTGGCCCAAGTCCAAGACCCTCGCCGCGACCCCGCCCAGCCGCCGCCGATAGGCGCTATCTCGGTCCGCGCCGACGGGGGAGGGGCTGATAGGGGAGAGGGTGGGGTGTCGGTCGCATGGGAGCGCGCCGCCCGGCTCTCAGCTCTCGGACCCGCCTCGCCCTCTCCCCCCCCCCCTCCCCAGCTGTCTCCCGTCTGGGGACAGCGCCGCTGGCCAATGTCAAGGCCAAGGCGAGACGTCCCCCATGACAGCAGGTGTAGGTTGCAGAAGCATACCGACCCGACGCAGCTGCGAGTGAAACACTCAGTGTCCTATTCAACTACCCAGCATTCTCAACTAGCCACCTTCCCCTGATGCCCAGTAGCTACTGGCATCAACTGATGGTAAAGGTGAATTATTGCCTATCAATATATGAAGACAAACGACCCGATGATCGGTAATGCTCGATCTCCAGGCGAAGCACTCGCCATTGAGTGCCAGAGAACATCAAACTAATATTCGTCCTAAGCACAGGGTTTCGCTCGACTGTTGAATGCCTGTGCCGGTCCCATTTGGAAAAAAGAAATACAGAAAATGAAGAATAAACATCGGTTAGTCCATGTCCAATTCACAGACAAAGGCAATACACAGGCAAAACTCAAAAAGAAACATTGAATCGCGTTATTCCAGCCTTTTCTTCTCCAGCCCAATGTGCCTCCAAAATCACAAGCTTCACTACTCACCTTAGTTTTGAGCGCGTTCCTCCTGAAGAAGGCCTTGCAGCTCTCACAGGTGATGGCGTTGAAGTTGTAGCCCAGCGCCTTATCTCCGCAGACGCCGCACTCCTTGGCCGGCCGAGGAGTGGCCGGAGCCTCTCCAGACGGCGGGACGGCCCCATTGTGGTGCGGAGGGCCCTCCGGCAGGCCGGACACCATACCCGGGCCGGGGGCCGGGACGGAGACCGGCACGGGAGCGCCGGCCGACAGCGCCGTCTCCTCCGTGTCACCCATCGGCTGGCAGTAGAGGTCACCGCCCAGCTCCAAACTGTGAACAAAGAGGGGAGTTAGAGACTGGCAGTAGAGATCACCGCCCAACTCCAAACTGTGAACACAGAGAGGCAGGGGAATCAGTGGTCAGCACAGGAAGAAAGTGCTACGCTGCGCTGAGTGAGAAGAAGTGGGGGGACGATGGCAGTGGCACGGACTCTCCCAGTCTCCATCAAGAAGGTTGGGCAGCACAACCATCAAAACAATTTAAGTCTCAGGGAGGCATAACCCCTCTCCCACCAATTTGACTCCGTGATACTACCACTCCAATACCACTCACCACCGATCCCCACAGCGGAAGGGCAGGGTCAGGGCACCGAGGCCTGGCCGGGGGTCAGACTGCCGCCGATACCGGCACCGCACGCCGGTCCGGCCCGCCCACTGCGTGCGCCGACACCGGGGCATGGCGACACTCCACGCGCCAGTAGCGTGCCGCCTCAATGGATGACGGCGGGGGCGGGTCGGTGGGTCCAACATCGAGGAAAGGAGGGGAGGGGTGCAGGTGAATCGCCGGTGGCCGACATGCTAGCCATGTTTACGGACAGCGTCAATAGTGATAGCCATTCCAGCTATGCTGGGACAGGCTCAGCTGTTGTCATGCGGCCTCCACGGCAAAGAAGGCCGACTCATCGACCGGGGGGGGGAGGGGGGTGTACGGCGCACGTGGACGTCACGCGCACGGTGGCCGTGACGCCGCGATGACGCCAGGATCGTCACGGTACGCCGTTATACTGCTGTAAAATCGGCCGATACGGGCCCGTCCGACGGCGATGGTCGGTAAATGGACAGCGAAACAGGTATGGAGGGGAGGGCGCACACAGACAGACCGCACATGACAACGCATACAATACCGGATGTGTGCGCACGTTTCTGCCAATCGATAAAAAAAAAAAAACGCTGAGGCGTTAGACAGCGATGGATCGTAATTGGCTAAAACTTTGTTAATAGCAGGCTGAAAAAGACGGACGACCCGTGACTGATGGTACCTAGCACAAATTACATTTTGTTAGTTTCATCACAGTTATTGCACATGACGCATACCTACTTGAGGAAAGAACCGAATTCCATGAAGCAAAGCTGATTAGAGGGAAGTTTGGCGAAAGCAAAGCGAACAACAAAACAAACATTTCCAAGATAAACGTGTTGCGGGAACGCGAAACTGACGTCCCCAAGCAGGTTCCTACGTATAACACGCGGCGCCGCGCCTACCCAATGACTGGTAACCACGCGCGGGCCAGTGTGTCAGTGGCCCATAAGGTCAGGCGGGACGCTCAATAACAGGCGCTGCATGGCTCGCCCAGTGTGTTTGTGTGCGACTGTTGGGTGGGTGTCGATATACATAAGCCGGGTAGGTGTAGGCGTGTGTAAGGTCCGGGAACTCAGGTCGTCGGAAAAGTCACTATCAAGAAGCGGATAACGATGGCAATTTTTGCACGCTTCAACTCAACAAAGTGTTGAAATGTGTTTGCCATGGACAGGCTTGGGATAGGCCTAACCTGAGCCTACATTTAATGAGCGAGTTTGTCTATCGAGCTTTGCAAGTATTACAGTGAAGAATAGTTGAAAGACCAAAGTTATCAAAGGCATTCAAAACTCACACCATTTTCAGAAGATATCAGCTTCATCTTATATAAAACAAGCCTACATCATTGTCAAGTTAACCCGCGCCCCACTGGGGTCTGTGTATAACACGCCCTACTGGGGGGGGGGGGGGGCTATCCATGGCCCCCCTCCTAACTCCGAAACTACTGGGCCGATCGTCAAAATTCAAACGGCATCTGATAGCCCCGGAAAAACTGTCGAGCGAAACCTAATTTCATTGACCTCGAGGTCACCGATGACGTCACAGGTCAGGTCAAAGTAAAAATTATCGATATTTGGCTTGTTCACATTTTGGGCTCTGGCTGCCGTCTTACAAGTCAGATCAGGCTGATTTTTGGTTTACAGACTCGTGAACAGATGCTTTAGATACCCTGAGGGTACCAAACTTGTACTTTGATGATCAGGTCAGGGTCAGGTCATCATAGGTCACGGAAATCTTATGTCATAAGTCGGTCACGTGACACATGTTTTATGGTCCATTTAGGTCATAGATTACGAATTCGGTGTCGTCTGTGTCATTTGAGGTCATTTTAATCTGAATATAGCTGAGGTCAGGTCACTTTCAGGTCAAAAAAGGTCAAATTTCAAAGTTGAAATTTTTCAACAAAACACATGTGTATCGGATGCAGTTTGAGCTCAGGAACACGATGGTGTTATTTATATTGGTGTACGATGTCAAATTCATACAGAAAAATTGATTTGAAAAAATTAAAATTGTGAAATCTTTGCTATAATGCGCATAACTTGGCCATTTTTGAAGATATCTAGCTAAAACTTGCTAGAGTAAGTCATTAGCATGTGTTCTATCATATACGTTCCGGTTTTTTTTCGAAAAATTAAAGTTTTTGAAAAAATATAAAAATACAAAATTTGAATTTATATATATATTATTTTCAAAGTTTTCAAAATTTTGAAAATTCGAGATAGCAGTTTGATAGCGCAGTCCATTCTAAGTCCTCTCATGCAAAGAAATTGGATCTAGCTCAAAAACTGAGCTCTTGGGAGCGATTCCTGTGCTTCAATGTTTTGCGTCGAAATCGGCCGAACATGACGTCACTCTGACGTCATGTTCCGGCCGACCTATGATAGATACGAAGTTCAAATTTAGACACAAGGTGTCAAATTGATGCAGCCGAAGGTACTGAAAGTTTGGCGGCGACACGTCAAGCGGTTTGGAAGTTAGAGCAGAAAAACGGGAGGCTATAAATAGCCCCCCCCCCCCCCCCCGTGGGGCGCAGGTTAAAATTGGCACACACGAAGGTGGAATATTGACTGAAAATTGCACTAAGCTCTAAACGTATGTAACCTTCCATGACACATCACCGAGTCCTGCCCTATCGAATGCTCGTTTCCCTTCACGCCTTGCACAGCGCGCATTGACACGCTGAATTGGACGTAATGGTGCGACCCGTGAGCACCCGACCTCGTCATATGATAATGGCCTTCGTCCGGAACTAGCCGTACGCTGGTGCAAACCCCGTTAGCATAGCGCCCATAAATTCACATTTATGTGCACAAAGCAAAATGGCGCAACGGACGGCGACTTTTCTGATTGTCAAATACGATAATAATGCGAAGTACCAGCGACCCGATAACTGAAGCCCCAATCAGTTGTCGAAAGTTTCAAAGACTGCAAGTGCCGACTCAGGGCTAGGAGTAGTTTCTATTGAATTTTCATTTCGTGTACTCTGGCCGAGACCAGCCCATATATTATCAAAATAAAAGGGACTGCAGAATAAGCCTTCAGTCCTGAGTACCAGACTACAGGAGACTTACCGATCAGCAGTAAAATCAAAAGATGTATTTTAAGTAAAGGACTGGTGAGGATTCAAGGAGAACATACCAAACAAACGACAAGCAAAGGCAGCAGCAAATCAAAGCAGCAAAGTAAGCGTAGACAATAAATGGGCTTTGCAAAACATGGACAAAGGTGAAATATTAAAAGGAAAACCCATGAATTACAGCTACACAAACATCGCGCACAGATCGAGTTTTAGACATCAAGGGCCATACAGAAACGGTACAAAATGTACAATGTAGGTAAAATGGAACTCGCCGTGAATACACTTCATATCTCGATCTTGTTTAGTCAAAAGTTTTATAAAGGTGGTAACATAAATTAATCATCAACTAGGTCATCAAAGAAAGCGATAGATAAAATGAAAATGGTGAAATGCGGGTCAAACGAGAAGACACCGAATAATTAACGACCTAAGAACTTATGGCCCAAAAGCCCCTATCAGATATTGCCACAGACCCCAACTACTACCCACCGAAAGTCCTCTGTTTGAAGAAAAAAAAAAACGGAAAACGTCTCGTGCTTTATGCAGGACTCTCATGTCTTTTTGGATGTGTGTAGCCAACATAAGTTATTACATGCCCATGTCCTGTTAAAAATGGCAAAAACAGCGGTAAAAACCGGGAGGCTATCAAGTTACGATATCTACGCCAGCTAGCCCCATGCCACTTACTCAAGGTGCCCACATAACCGCACCATAATCGCGATAATTAAGGCCATCGCCTCTCCCCTAAAACCGGCTGGGGCCACAAAAACAGGACATCTCTCCTCTCGTTCGGCCGAAAACCAGATCAGAACGAGGGCGAAAGCGATCCGGGGCCAGGCGACAATGTCGCCGCGCCGATGTCAATCTCCGAGGCCATTTCCCAAATTTCCCAAGACCTATAAACCGTCTGGTCGGCGGCGCGGGGCCCCTGTCCACGCCCTCGGAGCGGAGTCGCTGATTGGCCGCTCCGGCTGACCGGCGTGCCGAGCCGGCCGGTTTCTCTGGCCAGCGGCCGGCGTGATGACGGCACTCGACCGGTGGCTGTTGTCGCCAGCTCTGCCGACGCCGATTGCACACCGCTCGCGCTCGCTCGGTATTCAGATTCTGAGGAAACTGGAGCGACATGCGCCGCTGACGCCGACGCCGATCTATGACGGCCGCTGGACAGATGTGCGGCGAGGGACTCCGCCCCACTCAGCTATCTCGGTTTCAATCGGCGGCGATTGTTTAACTTAATTAATGGTTACCGGGGAACTGTCGGGATGTAGAGAGGAGCCTCAGATATTTTTACGACACTATTGCATGTGTTTGCATAATATCAACAAGCTGCTTGTGGATGATGAATAAAAATGCCGCGCGAGCCGAATAACTGCAGACCTAAACAAGATGGCATGCCATTGAAATCCCCAACCGATGATTTTGAAAAAAAGGAACGACGCACTTGCATTGTCTAATCAACAGTGGTTGGTTTGGACTGTCGAACTGTGAAACGGAATAGCCATTGATCGATTCATTCTGAAATGCTTGGAAAACGAATCAATGCAAGACTGCAAAGGTGAAATGGCAAAGGTGACTCAGCTGAAATGGCTAAATCGGCATGGCGGCAAAAAAG